ACACACACACACACACACACACACACACACACACACACACACACACAAAGCCACAGAGTTATTATTAATTATGAAAGCTTAGCCTATAGCTTAGGCCTATCCCATTAGTTCTTATAACTTAAATTAACCCATACTTTCTTTTAGGTGGCTCAGTACCTTTACTCTGTACTGTCTACGCTGCTTCCTCAACAACTCCTCATGCTTCTGCCCCTCTTCTTCCCAGCATCCTCTGTGCCTGAAAATCCCACCTAGTTATTGGCTGTTCAGGTTTATAGTAAACCAGAGTGACACATCTTCACAGTGTATCGAGAGATTGTTCCACAACAGAAGACATGGATGTCAGCCTCAGGCCTGCCTACACGATAGAAACTAGCAAAGTAATGCATGCAAGCGTAGAATCCCAGCATTGGAGAAGCAGACACGGGTAGATTCCTGGACTCAGTGGCCAACCTGTCCAGCCTACTTGGCAGACTCCAGACCATTGAGAGGCCCTCCCCTACACCCTCCACCTCTCATGGCGGGGAGGGTCAATTCAACAGACCGGATGATCTGAGTTCAATCCCCAGAACCCTGCATGCATAAAAAAACAGAAGCAGTAGTGCATGTGTGCTGTGGGACAATGTACCCTGTTACTTGTATTTTAAATAAACGCTGATTGGCCAGTAGCCAGGCAGGAAGTAGAGGCAGGGCGATGAGAATTCTGGGAAGAGGGAAGTTTCAGTCTGCAGTCGCCACCCAGACACAGAGCAAGCAAGATGTGACTGCCTCGCCAAAAAAGGTACCAAGCCACGTGAATAACGCAGACAAATATCTGGGGTTAATATAAGTTATAAGAGTTAATAAGCAGCCTGAGATACTAGGCCAATCAATTTATAATTAATGTAGACCTCTGTGTGATTTCTTTGGGACTTAACAATTGTGGGAACAGGGCAGGACAGAAACCTCTGTCAACACATACGTCTGTATCCAACCACTGAACTACACCCCAGCCCAATTTAACAAAGTCAGCGTCCCATGTGTTAGGTAAACATCCGACCACTGAGCTACACTCCAGCCCAATTAAAAAGATTTTTAAAGATAGAATCTCATTATTTAGCTCTGACTGGTTTGAAACTCACTACGTAGACCAGGCTAGTCTTAAACTTGTATAGCTCTTCCTGCCTCTGCTTTCCCAGTGCTAGGATTACAGGCATGTGACACCATTCCTGGTCAAATTCTAAAAATGGAGGAAGAAAATAACTGTGTAGTGTAGAAAAGTGATTAGCGGGGCTGAGAAGATGACTCAGGGGTTAAGCACATATACTGTCTTTGCTGAGGTCCCAGCACCCAAGTCAGGTGGCTGATTTCTGCCTGGAACCCCAGCTCCAGGGGATCCGACTCCCTACTATGGCCTCCTTAGGCACCTGCACACACATGTGCACATGCACACAGACACACAGACATACACATACACAATTAAAAACAAAAAGTAAAATGTATAGGCAGGAGAGACAGCTCAGCCGTTAAGAGCACTGGCTGTTCTTCCAGAGGAACTGGATTCAATTCCCAGCACCCACATGGAGGTTCGTAACTGTTAAGATTCAGGCTTTATGCTGGTCTGGCACCTGGCAGGATGCACCAGTCAGTACCTTGGCCAGCACAGGGTCCTATGACCGCTATGCCACTACACAGTCTGTAGGCAGGGGCAAAAGGTTCCTTTAAGAGATTAGCTCCCAGCTGGGGAGGTGGCTCAGTCATTAAAGGCCAGGCTCACAACCAAAAATATAAGAGATAAGCTCTGCCCTTTCCAAGCTCTTTCTGAAGAGGCAAGCAGTCTTTGCCTCTGTCTGTCTGTCTGTCTGTTCCTCTCTCTCTCTCTCTCTCTCTCTCTCTCTCTCTCTCTCTCTCTCTCTCCTCTTCCACCACTCCTATCCCCAGAGGCAGCCGGTCTCTTCCCTTCCCTTCCCCCTTCTTTCAATAAACTCTCCACTTAAGTTTCGTCTGCATGGCATTATTTGTCTCCCTCCAGGGTCCCTCTCTCGCAGAAACATTACAACAACCATCAATAACTCCAGTTCTAAGGGATCTAACATCCTCTTCTGGACACCAGACATGCAGTGGTATACAGATACAACATGCAGGCAAAACATCCATATGCATAAAATAACTTTTAAACAGAAATAAAATCTAAAAAAAAAAATTGATTGAGGTGTGAAGTTGGCTAAAAAGAGGTAACTCTGGGAAATGTTTTCCATGTTAACTTTTATTTTTAAAATATCCAGGGGCTGGACTGTGCCAAACCAGAGCCTCAGCTTGCTGGAGGTGGGGACCCAGGGGAAGCTACTGCTATGCTACAAAGTTTCCAGTTCTGATGATGCTCAGGGGTCAAGCTGGAGACAGGAAAGAACACATTTAGCAAGAATTGGCGCCAGGGAGGACAGAGAAGAGGGAAGTCAGTGGCCTGAAAGAAGGGTGGGAAGGAATGAGACAGAGCATAGCTGGCCTAATCTGTCCTGCAGGCAGGGAGACCCAGGAAGCTGCACACGGACCACTCAGGGAAAGAAGAAAGGGCTCCCTAGGCAAAAAGGAGCCTCGGAGCCTCCACCTTTCTCTGTAATACAAAATAGCTTCTGTGCTTTGATGTATCTTCTAACTCATCCACATGGGTATGTCTTGCTCTTGAGAAAACAACTTCTTTTATAAAGTAACGGTGTTTGAAAGGAACTTGAAGTTGGTGCAAGGCACCCCAAGATCAAGTTCTTAGCACAAAAGAGATTTATTTGCCCCAGAGGGACAAAGGACAGGAAATAAGAGACAAAGACCAGAGATAGAGGACCTGGGAGAAGGGGGAAAAGGCAAGGGAGAGGGGGAAAGGGGTGTTTGCCCCAGAGGAACAAAGCACTGCTTCTGGATAGAGGAGACAGAAGTGGCCCATATGCAAATGGCTGTTTATAAAGTGAAATGGGGAATCCAGCATTAGAATGAGCTGGCTTGATTGGGTATGTTAGTTAATGGAGCCAAAAGGGGGCTTTTGATTACGGACTTTAATACTTTGACAGCTGGACCTTGGTGGTCAGTCTCAGGAAAAGGCATATTAGGCCATATTAGGGACCAGACCTTGGCGGCTAGCTTTAGGAATATAATCTAACAGTTTAGCAAGACAGAGGAAACAAAGGAAGGGCAAGGCCTCTCCGAGCCATGTTTGTCATGCTGGGGCCTACCAGAGCTCTTCAGTGTTGGACATGGGAACTCTGCCCAGGACTCTGAGTTAGTCCACAGATGATGGGCAGGGAAAATGCACGGACAAGCGGTGAGTCCAGGGCCAGCAGTTTTTGTTGCTTTCTTTAGTGGATACAGAAGCAAGATACAGACAGGCAGAGGCATCTGGACACTGGACATCACACAGCTAGAGAGGTATGTGAAAGACCATGAGAGGCCAAGACTCAGCCTGACTGGTTCTAACCGGGTGACAAACAAATGGCTGTGGAGACCAGTGCTCTCACTAACCTTCAGGCTCCTCCCTAGGTAGTAATAGCAAACAGATTCCTCTGGTGGCTGGGACACAGAGACAGAGACAGAAACAGAGGAGCCCCGAGTCGCCAGATGTTAACACAGGGCTTCCTAGAGACCTCTGGACATGCATCTGCACAGAGACCAAGAGAAGAAAGGCCAACTGGAGGTCAGAACAACCAGAGCAGCCCCAGAGAGTACTCTGCACCAGAGCTGTCTCCTTCAGTCCCCAGCTCCTGGCCACTCCAGCCACCCAGGTCCCTGTGGGCACCCTGCTCACTGGCTGCAACGACTCTGGTTTGCTATACCCAGCCCTAGCCAGGCCAATGCCAGACTTGGCAGTAGATCGGCATTAAGGTGCACAGGGCAGTCAGAATTAGGGTTCTGCTGGCCTGGAGGGGCCAAGCCCAGCTCCCTCCAGGCCCAGTTGCCAGCTAGTGCCTCACACCCTGTCTCAGCAAGTCTACTTCTGTCTGCTGTGCACATGAATGGGAGGCTGAGGAGCGCTCTGTGCAGCGTGCGGCTCTTAGGGGGCTCAGCAGCAGCCACACCATCAAGTTGCCTCTCGAGCTTCCAAGGAGCCTGTTGTCCGACCTTGTCTTTCAGAGCTAGTTTTTTTCAGGAATCTTCTCACCAATTGTCTCCAAGTTTGTTAAGGACTATTGTCTTCACTAATGATGAAAAACAGAAGAGGGAGGTGGAGAAGGACGAGAAGGAGGCAGTGGCGGTGTCCTCACACCCACAAATCCCCAGTGCTGGCCAGGCAAATGTGCTGAGCACAGCACCATCTGCATGTGATTCCTGGAAAGCTGAGTTTATGAGTAACACACTCATGCGCTACAGGGTACCCCTGGGTGTGGAGCTGGTCATCTGGCGACACACAGGAAGTGTGCCTGCCTTTAAGTTGGGCTCCCTGTCAGGAAAAAAGCTGAGCTCCGAGAAACCCAGGCAGGGAAGGCCTTCACCTCGTCCGTCATTCACTGGTGTCTCAGCTCTGGAGTCAGGGAGCCAAGGAGCGCCTACTGGACCCAGAGAAATGGGGTGGCCTACCCTGTGGACTCTCTGGACACTACTCTGTCTTGGCCCTTCCCGAGCCCTGGGCCAGGGGGAAGGTGCCTGTCCAGGTGAGAGGCGTCTGCTCTGCCATGTGGGGACACCCATACTTGTATATGCCTGCATGTGTGGCAGCAGGAAATGGGATGTATTAGAAGGGCATCTTGGGAACACATCCAGGGGCAGGCTGTCACTCAGCCTCCTGGGGGGTACGGTGGGTACAGAAAGCGGTGACTCTTCAATGCTGCACTAAAGCGACCCTCACAGAAATCCGCCTGCCTCTGCCTCCCGAGTGCTGGGATTAAAGGCGTGCACCATCACCGCTCGGCCGCGACCCTTCTTTTATCTTTTATTCTGTGCAGAGGTCAGCATTGTAGGTCTGGGGGCCCAGGACAAGATGGCTATCATCCGAGGTTGCCCTGGTTTTCCTGGCCCACCGGGGCCCAAAGGGGATCGTGGCAGCCCTGCTGAGAAAGGTAGGTAGAGACCTGGAGAGGGAGAGTCCCCTATCATCTCCGCCCTGGCCAATCCTTCTCCAGTCCCACCTAGAGCATGGGATCCAGCTTAGTCCTTGTGTTTCCAGGAGAGAGAGGCTTCCAAGGCAGTCCAGGGAAGATGGGGCCCGCTGGCAGCAAAGGTAAGAAGGAACTCTCCTGTGGGTCGATATGCCCAAGATCCCGACAGGACTTGGGAACAGTATCAGTAGCATCTTGGCCCCACACCCCCCTCCTCCCCTATGCCCTACCCAGCTGCAGGATGTCTATCCTCTTCCTAACAAGCTGGGTATTCAAGTCTCCCACCTACAAGCTCTGCTCACATGGACACCTAGATGTACACACACACACACACACACACACACACACACACACACACTACAATGAAGAGGAGCCTCTTCCCTTGTGGAGGCCAACACTGTAAGAACGCCCCTTCTGTCTACAGGAGAGCCAGGATCCACAGGGGCCCCGGGAGTCAAAGGTAAGCCTGCTAACCAAAGTTTCTCAGGAAGGGACCAAGAAGGGCAGTTCTACATGAAGTAATCTGGGGTTAGGGTCTTGTTGGTTTAAGGGAGGCCTTGAAGAGGGGAGGATGCTCCAGTGGCAGCATTCCAGGACTCCCCAAAGTCTCCCTGGCTCATTCTGCATACTGGAATGTTGGGCCTCACAGGCCCGAGGAGGGGCTGGATGCTGGGGGCGGTGCAGGACAGAGGATCTGGCAGGATTCCAGCTCTGGGACCAGGCTGCTATGCTGTATTCCTCCAGGGCAGAAAGGCGACACCAGAGCGGCACTATTGCTGGGTGAGTACATCCTGAAGTCTCTTAAAATTTCCAGCATTGGGGGCTGGAGAGATGGCTCAGTGGTTAAGAGCATTGCCTGCTCTTCCAAAGGTCCTGAGTTCAATTCCCGGCAACCACATGGTGGCTCACAACCATCTGTAATGAGGTCTGTTGCCCTCTTCTGGCCTGCAGACATAGACACAGACAGAATATTGCACACATAATAAATAAATAAATAAAAATTTCCAGCATTGTTACCCTGTGGTTGTGAGTAAAGGAGAGCAAGCCCTGGCCGGGGACCAAGGAATCCTGAAGGATACCAAAGGAGCAGCGGAAAGGCATGGAGGCCCAAGGACACAGGAGGAAGGACTCAGCACCCAACATCAGGGGTTGATGCAGCCTGAAGCATCACTAGGCACAGCCAGCCTCCCAGCCAGCCCTCCGCCCTACCCCAACTCTAGACATAATCACAGAGGGCAGCCAAACACATAAAGAAGCCTGTGGCCAGCAGAGGCCAGTCAGGAAAGGTGTGCGGGGCTCTTCAGCAAGAGGGGTCCAGCACCAGTTATGCCAAGTAGAATATGGGCACTGGGGGATATGTCTGTGCTGGAAAGGGACCAAGGAAGAGAATGACATTCATGTCTCCTGCCCAGGTGAGAAGGGGCTAGGAGACGCCCTGTGCCAGAGAGGTAAGTGACCTCCCAGCGGGCCCCTCCCACCTCCTGCCAGCAAGAATACAGTGCAGGAACCCACATTACTGGATCCTTTTGCTTGACCCCGGAACACACCCCAGGTACAGGTCAATGCTGCCTGCTTCCCCATGGTACAGGGCCCCGGAGCTGCAAAGACATGCTGGCACGGGGGACCTTCCTGACTGGCTGGTACACCATCTATCTTCCTGACTGCCGGCCACTGACCGTGCTCTGTGACATGGATGTGGATGGTGGGGGCTGGACTGTGAGTAAGAAGGCTCAAGGTGGAGCATACGAGGTTAGCACACAGCAGCCACGCTCAGGAGAGCCAAAGGCAGAAGCCAGAGATGGCAAAGTAACCACAAAAATAAAAAATAAAAAAAAAAGTAGTGCATTACAAAGGAGACCCCAAGCACTGATGGACCAGAATCTAGAATTCTGTGGAGTGAGTTAAGTGGGCAATAGGACCCCAGGCATGACAGATGCATCAAAACATCTGACAACCCCGCCTTTTGCACTGGGCCACTGGAGTCCGCCAATCACATTTTTGTTCACCTGTACCACCTGCTTTCTGAAAACTTGTCCTCATCCGCTTCCTGAAGAGGGCACAGGAAAAGGGGTGGCCCAGATGTATCCCTCGTCCCTACTCCTCAGAGCCCCACACCCACAGGCTACCCCGCCCACCCCACAGGTTTTTCAACGACGAGTGGACGGCTCCGTCGACTTCTTCCGAGACTGGGACTCCTACAAAAGAGGCTTCGGCAACCTGGGCACGGAGTTCTGGTTGGGCAATGACTACTTGCACCTGCTCACAGCCAATGGTGAGGAAGCAGCCCCTCAGCCCGCACTTGCCTTCCCAGGCTCTGCCTTGGCTCAGTCTTCTTCTTCCTTCTGCCCACGTCATAGGGAGCCAAGACCTCCGGGTCGACTTCCGAGATTTCCAAGGTCAAACTTCCTATGCCAAGTATAGCTCCTTCCGGGTGTCTGGAGAACAGGAGAAATACAAGCTGACACTAGGGCAGTTTCTTGGGGGCACTGCAGGTAAATCACGCAGAAAACTTGAGGCTGTTGTGATGGGGGGCATGGAAGGGGACCTGTAAGCTGCCCCTGCCCATCTGGGATGGGCTCTGCCTTGACCCTGAGGGCGAATGGGTGTGAATCTTTCCAGGAGACTCCCTGACAAGCCACAGCAGCATGCCATTCACAACCCATGACCAGGATAACGATGATGCAAGCAACGTGAATTGTGCAACTTCGTACCATGGGGCCTGGTGGTACAATAGCTGCCACAGCTCCAACCTCAATGGCCGTTACTTGAACGGCTCCCACGCGAGCTACGCGGATGGCATCAACTGGATGACAGGCCAAGGCTACCACTACTCCTACAAGGTCGCTGAGATGAAGATCCGGGCATCCTAAGGCGCCCCTGCTTCCGGCCCTATAGCTATGTCCAGGCCAGGTGTGGACCCTGAAGCAAGGGATCATAAGATGGTGTCTGTTGTGTGCTCTCTACACTCCCCTCTGGACAGTGTCCAGCATGTGACCAGTGAGCACAAATAAAAGTCAAAGAAGCCGAAATGACAGCTTGAAGTCTGGGAGGGTCTGCAGTAGTTAAGAGGAGCGGGCAAGGGAGACCCCCAAACGTCCATGGCCACCTTGAGACTGAGACCCAGAGAGTCACCGAGACGACAGCACTGGGGAGGTGGTCAGCGCAGCCTTCCGAGACCCACTTTCAGAAACGAACCCGTTAATGAGTGGACAGGGCAAAGGGAGCCAACTCTGACACTGCTGCAGCACTAAGCTGAGAGGTGCAGCAAGGGTCTCATGGGGCTTGGGAGTCCTTTCCACAGTCTCTGTCACCATAGCAACTCCATGGCCACTCTAGTTACAGGGGACATAGATCAAAGTGACCAATGCTGAGTATAGCCCCAAAACAAGAATGCCATGCCAGTGTGGCTTGGATGCCGAGACGGGGTGGGGGGGGGGATACAGGACTGAGACACGGAGGCTTCGATGCAGGAGGAAGAACAGCCTTTATTTTCCCCAAACTTAAGCCTTTTATATCTTTAGGCAGCCCTAGCCACGCTGAGCAGCCAGAACCTGAGGTCAAGGTCAGGGCATCGCGTAGGAAGAAACTTCTGCAAAACACCACACACCAGAAAGAACACAAACATCCTTGTCAAATACAGGGTACAAAGAAGTTCAACTGTCCATCAGGGGGAGTGAGGGCGGCCAAGACATCTGGGTGCAGCCAGATCACAACACAAAAAGGCAGATAGACGGGGGATGGTGACCTCAGGACTTCTGGGAAGACAGCTGGGTGAACAGAGCCCTGATGGTGGGCACAAGGAAGCTTTAGATGTCTGAGACTCAGCCAGAAGGAGCCCAGAGGCCACTGGGCAGACGTTTATGCTAAGAGCAAACTGAGGCCCAAAGGACTGAGTAGTGCTGAGAGCCATCCCTGGTTCATTCTCAAGAGGCAAGTCAGATTGAGGCAAGTCTGAATCTTCTCTCGGAAGATTCAGAGGGTGTGGCCTACAGTGCAGCCCCATAGCAATGGAGCAAGAGGTTACAGTTCTATGACCAGGACCAGGTCTGCCCCAGGAGTACAAAGCCAGGACCCACCATGGGGAAAAATGCTACATGTAGCCGATCAGGTTAGGAACTCCCTGACCATTGATGATCACATACTGGCCTTGCCAAGGCTTCAGGATCTTGAAGCTCATTCAGCAGAGAAAAGTGGGGAGCAAGTACAGGAGGCAGGGGTAGAAGCTTAAGTGAGACCTACTGGCCTGTGCCCTAGAAAGAAGAGCACCAAAACATTCAAGCTGTAGAGAAGGGGCAGGATGGGTGCCAGTATCAGGGGGATGCAAACGGTACTTTCATCCAAACAGACACACAAAGTCATAACAACAACCTAAAGTGACTGTGTTGGGGCAGATCTGGGGACACCAGGGATAGCCATCGTTACCATGATAGGGAAGCTGCATCTTGTCCCTCAGCCGGGAATACAAACCCAATCATTGTCCTCCAAAGAGGAGCAGGAGCAAGGGACAGGTGCGGAACCTGATGGGAGGAGGGAGGCGACAGAGGTCTGAGTGAGAGGCTGGGGGTGGGGATGTGAAGACAGAGGGAACCCCACTCAGGGGCCTACTTCTGGATATGCAAGGGCCCCCAGGAGTGCTGAAGGGAAGAGGTTCTCCAGTCTTCATTCTCCTTCATTGTTAGGTACTAGCTAACGCCAGTTGGTGGGACTTGGGGTGCATTTTTATTCTTAGGAGCATCTGCATTTCTCCAGACTCCATACAAAATATTACTTTAATTAGTAACCAATAATCAATTTTTTTAAAAAAACTTTCCATTTTATGTATATGCATGTTTTGCCTGTATATATGTCTGTGTAACACATGTGTGCCTGGTACCTATGGAAGCCATGAGGACACTGAATTCCCATGAACTGAAATCACAGATGGTTGAGAGCTGCCATGGAAGTGCTGGGAATGGAATCCAGGTTCTCTGCAGGAACAGCCAGTGCGCTTGACTGCTGAGTCTTCTCTCTAGCACCCGATTATCAATCTTTTGCTGGACGGTGGTGGCACACACCTTTAATCCCAGCATTTGGGAGGCAGAGGCAGGGAGATCTCGTTTGAGACCAGTCTGATCTACAAGAGCAAGTTCCAGAACAGCCAGGGCTACACAGAGACCCTTGTCTTGGGGGGAAAAAAGCAAAAACAAAAACCAGAAGAGGAGGAGAAAGAGATGAGGAGAAAGAAAGGGGGGGTTGCTGAAGAGATGGCTCAGTAGCTAAGAGCATTTACTACTCTTATAGAGGACTGGAATTCAATTCCCAGCACCCATCTCAGACCTCTCCTAGATGCTTGTAACTTGGATTCAGGGGATCCAATGCTCTCTTCTGACCTATGCAGGCACCTACATACATGCACATACACACAGAGAGACATATTACCTACATACATGCATGCACATCCACACAGAGACATATCACCTACATACGTGCACGCACACCCACACACAGACACACAGAGCTGAGTCTTTAAAGTGCATGCCATGCAACCACAAAGACGTGAATCCAGCCCCCCTCCCCTCCTGTCTCCCTGAAACAGACCCACAAGTTTAGCCCAGGCTGACCTCGAACTCACAATCATCCTGCCTTCACCTCCTCCACGCTAGGATGACTTGGGTACACACCACAGCCAGATCCTCAACACACTTTTCACCCAGGCATAAACACCTGGCAAATCCCAACCCCACCCAAACCTGCTGTCCACAGTCTCTGAGCCCAACCCATACTGATGCACGATTAATAAAAACTCAGAGGAACTGAGGTTCAATCTGAAGATCTGGAAAGCAAATTAGCTGGCCACTGGCTCTTACCTTAACCTCAGTCCAAAATGGCCATCCTGCCTCCAGAAATTTCAGAATGAGACTGTGTCTGAGAGCTGTCTCTCTCATTGTATAATCCGCTCTATTTCTGGGATTAAAGGCATGCACCGCCTGGCTTCTATGGCAAACTAGTGTGGCTACTGGGATTAAAGGTGTGTGCTACCACTGCCTGGTCTGTAAGGCTGGCCAGCGGGGCTGTTTTACTCTCTGATCTTCAGCAGGCTTTATTTATTAAAATACAAATGAAATGCCACTACACCATACCGCTGAGTCCTGCCACAGAGAATCAGGCTCTGCCACCGACTGGGCTTCTAATCCGGGGTGAGGGATCTGCGGGGACACTCCACGGTAAGTCACACAACCCGCTGCCTCCCCTGAAATGTACTTACTGCCCCTCTCTGTCCTGAGCTCTGCCCCTAGTCCTTGGTTGGCAAGGTCAGTGTTCCCAAAGTTCTTTCTCCCGTCCCTTCCGACCGCCCTCTACTGCTGGCTCTACTTTCCAGGAGGCTCAGCCCACCAGCTCCTCTCTGGGAGCCTCCTGGATGTCCTGACCTCTCCTTGTCCAGCCAGTACCTTCTGACCTGTGGGCAACCAGCCTAGGTCTATGGACACCTCCGTAGGACTCCAGACCCTGACACAGAACAGGCACCAAAAATGGGCTCAACTGGATTTCTGGAATTCCAAAAGTCTCTACTCCATTGTTACTTTAACCCTTAATTGTAGCCTTAAAGCAAAGCCTCGGCTCATGTAATTAAAACTACCACTGAGCTCTTGAAGGAGTGACAAAAACCAGGACTGCTTTCAGGGTCACAAAACCCCAAGCTCAACTCCAAGACCAGTACCAGCCCAGGCGCGACCTAGTCCCTCCCCGTTCCGCCCACGTAAACTCATTTGGTTCCTCCCCTTAGACCGGGAATTCGGGGACCTAACCTTCTCTGCTACGTTCTGCGCAGGCCCGAGTCTTAGGCTCCACCCCGCCCCCAGTCTGACTGTCCTCTCTGGCGGAACCTGACCAACCATGGTGAATTTGGGCCTGTCCCGAGTGGATGACGCAGTGGCCGCCAAGCACCCGGTGAGAAGGCTGGCCTGGGGTGCCGGATCTAGTTCTCAGAAGCTGACCTGAAGCCGACTACAGGCAGGGGGAGCTTCTTCATGGAGTGGCGGAGCGGGGACCCTCCTGCCTTAGGGATAGAGACGCTGAAGGAGTTTAGGGGAGGGTGGCGTATCTCCGGTCCCCAGTGTCCCTCTCCAAACCAGGTCATGCCCAAAGAAGGAGCAGGAGGGGAGGAAAGGGAACTGAGCCATAAACACCACCACCTCCATCCCAGGGACTCGAGGAATATGCCGCGTGCCAGTCGACCGCCTTCATGAAGGGCGTTTTCACCTTTGTCACAGGTAGGCTGGTTCCAGGGATCTTGGAACACAAAGAGAAACACACCTTAAAGGGAAAAAAACTGTAACCTACTGTCCCGCCCTGTCTGTCCAGAAGGTGGCGCCACGTCATCTTGCTTGCACTGCAGGTGAGGTAGGCACTAAGACCATCACCTTGCAGGCTGACCAATGGTTCCTTGGCTCTTGGCAGGCACTGGTGTGACTTTCGGCCTGCAGCTGTTCATTAAGCGGAAGTTTGCATACCCTGTGCAGTGGAGCTTGTTGGTGTCTGCTAGTGAGTACTCCATAGTGGGTACCATCCTAGGCCCTGAAATGCATCCATTGCCAGGGACTCTTCAATGTTAGTGTGTTTCCGATTAAGACCCAACTGTGATCCAGCTCCAGTTTTGGCTGGAGCCCTACCCACCCTGTCTGCCCAGAAGTAGCTTGTGCCAGGTTCCCTTGTAAAAAGTGCAGGGGCTAAGGTCCCCCAACTCACCACCCTCCTGCTTCCCGCTCTCCAGTTGTAGGATCTGTGGCCAGCTACAAAGTGACCAGAACGGAGTCTCAGAAATGCAGAGATCTCTGGCTCTTCCTGGAGACAGGTCAACTCCCCAAAGACATGAATACAGGTGAGAGGGTCCCAAAGGGGCAGCAAGACGTTCCCGGAAGACAAGCACACGGGACTCAAGAGATAGACTGGTCCCCTTCCTTCCAGCCAATCTTGCTTCCCCCTTAAGGGGCTGAGGCTAGAAGAAAGAACAACAAAGACCGAGCAGTGCCTTCCCTGGAGGAGGAGCCAGGAAACTAGGGTGACCCTGAGACAGGGAAGGGCCTTGTAAGGTGTGGGACAGGGCACAGCAGTTATACCAACAACTCAGAAGAGTATCTATGACTGAGACTTTGAATCTGATACCAAGTTGGTGGGCCTCAGGCCTGCCTGTCCTTGTTACAGAACTCGGGTGGTTTTTTGTTTTTGCTCTTCTAAGAAAGGGTTCATAGCCCAGGCTGGCTTTGAATTCCTGCTTCCACCTCCTAGGCTTGAGATTATAAGTCTGTTTAGCCACGTCTGACAGGAGCTCTGTTTTTGTCATGCTAGAACAGGATCAGGACCCCTCAAAAATCAGACATAGGCCGGGCGGTGGTGGCGCACGCTTTTAATTCCAGCACTTGGGAGGCAGAGGCAGGTGGATCTCTGTGAGTTCGAGGCCAGCCTGGTCTACAGAGTGAGTTCCAGGACAGCTAGGACTGTTACGGACTGTTACACAGAGAAACCCTGTCTCAAAAAATCAAAAATGAAACAAAAACAGAAAAACCCACAGACGTGAATCCAGCTGTCTCCCTTTGCTTCCTACAGATCATCACAACTAGAAGAGCCCTGACTGCTTAGGGTGTGGAGGATCTGAAGAGGGGAATCCTGGAACACAGATTGCAACACTGACTCCAGGCTGGTCCTTCCTACCTCACCAAACACACACACATACACACGCCCTTGAGTATCACCTGTCCCCCCACACGTGTGTTTAGGCAGGCCGGCCTGACACGCTGTGTTGACCATTGCTGTCCCAAATCTAGGACTCACCCACGAGTTCAGCTCAGAAAAGGGCTTGGAAGACAAGGGGTGGGGGTGGGGTGGGGATGTATCCTCCAGAGCAGCAAGAAGTCAGGGTCTCAGGGTTGTATCCTGTTGCTCACAGCTGTGGGGGCAGCAGCCTGCAAGTAGCGAGAGAGACTTCTCTATTTTCTCTGGTGCTTTGGGGTCCCTCTTCTGACGTCTATGCCCTGAGTCCAAGGAGAATTGCGGGGGGGTTGTAACTAATAAATGGTTTGTCCTTTTCCTACCTGAGCTCTGAAGCAATTAAACGAGTTGGTGAGGTTGTTCTGTGGGTAGAGTGCCTGCTGCTAAGCCTGCTGACTGAGTTTAATCCCCAAGAACCACGTGGTGGGAAGAGTAACAACTGCCACGTGCTGCCCTCTAATCTCTACTGTGGTGTGTGGGTTCCCGTTCCACATGCATGGCACACACAAAAGAAATACAGGTGTAATATTAAAAAGAAAGCCTGGGCAGTGGTGGCGCACGCCTTTAATCCCAGAACTGGGGAGGCAGACGCAGGCAGATCTCTGAGTTTGAGGCTAGCCTGATCTACAGAGTGAGTTCTAGGATAGCCAGGGCTACACAGAGAAACCCTGTCTCAAGAAAAAACAAACAGGCAGATTTCTGTGAGTTCGAGGCCAGCCTGGTTTACAGAGCGAGTTCCAGGACAGCTAAAGCTACAGAGAAACCCTGTCTCCAGAAAACAGAAACAAACAGAATGTAGGGGGCAAGAAGATGTGATTATGCCCCTTTGTGGCTGTACGGCTGATCTTGGAGGATCCAAGAACTGGATGTTCCTTCCAGCCATCTGGGCCTCGTAGTTATCCTCCTGGAAATCTGCCAGAGGAGCAGAACAGAGGTAGGAGTAGTCAGAGCCCAGGCAGGGGCATGAGTCGTGCCCACCTGCTTGGCATCAGCAAAGCCCCTTCTCCAAGAAGGAACAAGCAGCAGAGCTCCCAAGGAAATGTCTGGGGGAGGAAGGAGACCACCCACACCAACCAGCCCCGTTTAAAAAACAAAACAAAACAAAAAAACACAGAGATTGTCCCAACCTTGATATCCCAGGAGCACAAAGACTTGGCCTTGGCCAGCTCCTCCACCTCTACTGAGCTTGTCAATTGGACGTCTGTGGGAACAAATCAGTGGGCAGAGTGGCAGCAGGCCTCACATAGTTGAAGCTTGAGCCAAGTTAGTTTTCTTATAGAAACCGAGGTACATGGTCTATCAATGTCTGTGCTGTTGCCAACAGCATACCACAGACTTGGGCAGATTATAATTAAAAAAAAAAAAAAGTTTTGTTTTGTTGTTTTGTTTTGTTTTTCCAGACCGGGTTTCTCTGTGTAACGGTCCTAGCTGTCCTGGAACTCATTTTGTAGACCAGGCTGGCCTCAAACTCACAAAGATCTGCCAGCCTCTGCCTGCCCGACTAAAAAAACAAAAACAAAAACTTGTTTTAACCCATTGTTCTGGAGGCCAAAGGTCCAACAACCATCTAGTGGTGGCTGTCATTGTGGCAGAGTCCAGAAGCATCACAGGTCATCACACAGTCAGAAACAGCGCAAACGTGTCGCTTCCTATTCCTATAAAGCCATCAAGGTTTGACCATGGTGGCTCTACCCTGGTAACTTAAATTCTAACAATCTCTCAAAAGCCCTACCTGAAGGAAACAGTGAGAGTGGGGGTATAAACTCCAGCATGAGCGTTAGCTTCGGAGGACGAGCCGTCGTCAGCCCCCGGCAGTGTTTTAAGAGCTCTTCTGGGGGTCAGGGGCCCGGGCGTCCTTCAGTCTCTTTCCTGTTGTAATGGCTCCCACTTCTCAGTCTAGCTCATTGTGCTGGGTGGCTCCGCCAGCTCCAGATACTGCGTCATCATCCCATTTAACAGAAGGATCAAAGGAGGGGGGAGAGGACAGTTGTTCTGCCATGTCTGTATACACACCCCTGGCCAGAACTAAGTCACATGGTACATCAACCGGAAGGAAACCCAGGAAGGCAGCCTTACTCTGGACAGCCATTTATTTGCTCCACTAAAATTCAGGAGTTCTGTATCTGAGGGAAAAGAAGGAGCCAATCCTAGGGACTATTATTTGACTCTGCCTCAGCTGGACACCAAGCTGGGCCACCAAAAACTAGGGAGGTAAAGTGTGCGGCCATGGCCATATCAGGTCCTTCCAGTCCTCTTGAGGATGAGGCGTAGACCAGAAGGGAGGCAAGGGGTGACCGCAGAGTTTAGACTGGAAAATGGCTGGAAGGTACAGGATCCATGTGAGAGGACATGGGGAGATAACACTGATGTGTCCTGTGTTAGACACATGTTCTGACCCCATAGCCCCCAAAATCCATACACTGAAGTCCTAACCCACAGGACCCCTGAAGGCAGCCATTGGAGGTGAGCCCTTTAATGAAGTGATTAGGGCCAACTGATGCCGTGGGGGACCAATCCAGTCTCTCTGGCATCCTTATACGAGGAGATTAGGACGCAGACTGGCACAGAAGGCAACCACATGAGATCACAGGCGCAGAAAGCGTCTACAGCCGAGGGGAGACACAGCAGAAGCAGCAGCCCTGCAACACCGTGACCCGGCCTTATATTCCCAGACTGAAGGACAAACACCTGAAGAAGAGGAAGCTCTCCACTGGTACTGAGATATGCAGCCCCATGCAGACCAGGTTGCAGAAAGTGTCTGTCTCACAGCCCCCACGGTGTGCTGGGCTGCCGCTGACTGCTAGCACACTGCTCTAAGGGAAGGGGTATGGTGTCGATGTGTGGACTTGTCCCTGCCAATAATTGGGGACCCAAGGTCCAGGGGGCTGAGGGAAGCAGGAGTCAAGCAGGGTGGCACCAGACAGGGCCAGCACAGGTCTGGAAAAGTTGGAAGAGATGGAACAGTGCTGGGCAGAAGCTGGGGTGGGGCGCTAGGTCACCCAGTGCCTGGGTTTTGAACTAGGAGTATGGGTTGGAGAGAGAGGTCTTGACATTGCGGGTAGATGTAGGAGGTAAAGTCAAGCCGCTCTGTGGCCCCGAGAGCAGGGGAGAGAACAAGACGGTGGGGTGCTGGGTGAGGTGTTGTACTAACACAGATTGCTCACAACCAAGAGGTCTCTGGTGTCCGTCCAATGGAACCCCTGAAGCGGCAGCCTCAGGACTCATTTCCCTTAGGGCAAAGCACCCAGAGGTGACCTTGAGGATGAAATTCTGAGAATGGAATTTCAGGATTCCCTGGGCATTGAGAACCTTAGTTCCATCACAATGACCTGAAATTCCAAGGACAATCTCAACTTAGGCTCAGTTTTGAGCAGGGAGGCTGAGAGGCACACGGGACCCTTGGAGGCCCTTTAGGGCCCACCATGAGGATTCACAATGAAGCAGCTGTAGAAGCGCAAATACAGGAGCTAAGGACCATCACTCGGCTCCAGGGTGAGCCACAATGGGGACTGCCACTCGGGCCTGCTGTTAGGCAGCTTGTCATCCTACTACCCACCCAGGCCCCCTCGGGCAAAAGTTCCAGAAGGGCCTGCCTTGTGAGGGGAACTTCGAGGAGATTTGTGCATTTACCACAATATTGTTCCAAAGTTGGAGGGACGGAGGAGGGATCGGCCTGACTCTAGGCACAGGAGCTGTGAAAGGGACAAGGGTTTCCCCATCCCTGGTCTTTGCCTCACCCTCTTTACTGCCCAGCCTCCATCCCTGGAGAGCCTTGTAGATTTCCATTTGAGCAGGGAAGCCTGTGTCTTCCAGGGAAGGGGAAAGAAATGGTCCTAGAGGCAATGCCGCATTCCACTAGCCTCTCTCTCTGAATGCTTTGCTGAAATTCTCAGCCAGTCCTTTAGCCTGCCGTCTGGTCATCTTGTTCCCTCCATCACCTACAGAACAATGTCGGGCACTCCAGATCCAGGGTGTGAAGGAGAAGACGACACAGAACAAGGCTACACTAGGCCTCCTGCGCAGCAACCTCCGTCGAGGGGCCCAGGAGTGGGCTTTGGCTAAGAAGGTGCAAAAGCCCCACCCCCTTCGCAGTATGGGGATAAGAGGTGGCGGTTCACTTAACACGTGCACACGCCCTACCCCTTTCTCTGGCCCAGAAGGCCTGCAGGGATGGGTACTTTTGTGACTGGTTCCCCCAATACCCACCAGGAGTGCTTAGTACCTGCAGGTACTCCATAGTACCCCGGGACTCCTGGGGCTCTCTGACCTCCTTTCCGGACCCCATCACACAGGAGCAGGGATGGCCCTGGAGGGGTCCTGTGCGCTCTGCTCAGGGGTCCCAGGACCAACGGTCTCCTTGCTGGATTAGCGGCAAGTAAGAGGCGCTGGGGGATATATCTGAGTACATCAGTGCCCAGGGGAATGCAAAAGGGCCAGGCTCCCGGCTCAGCCACCGCCGCTCCACAGTATGATCAGTGGACCATCTCCAAGGCCTGCGGGAAGGACGTGTCTATGAGGCTGGCACACCGCCGTAGTTCTATGGAGGTAACGAGGCAGAAAGGATCCCTTGCCCCTTTCAGTCCCAGTCCCCGAGGCCCGCCTACAGTAAATGTAATGAGGTCGGCGGGAAGGCGTAGCGCATTCCCACCTCCTGCTCCCCGTGGGGCAGCCGCGTGTCCCTGACTCGCAGCCTTCTTGGGTCCCCGCGGCGCTCCCTCTCGCACCCACGCGCGGGCGCCCTCCCTGACCCAGGTGGCTCGGGAGAAGCTGCGCAAGTACGTCTTCGACCGTGTGAATGCACACAACGTACTGATCCATCTGGCTCGGCGACGAGGACAGAAGCTGGAGAGCTTGCAGCTGGAACTGGCGAGTCTGCGGAACCAGCCTGATGCCACTAAAGACGAGCTAAAGCTGCTGCAGGTGCCAGGGGACCGGGCGGGGGCAGCGGAGAGCATCCGACTTTGCCCTGGAGCTTTCAAGGAGAGGCGAGACTCAGCGAGCTTTATTCCGAAAGGGTGGTTCTATGCCAGAGGTTGTGGAGATGTCCATAAAGGGGACGAAGTCCCGCCTTCAGACGGGGCCTCTGTATCAGGGCTGGATCGCTAATTAGGCAGGGTTCTACGGGAAGGGCGGCTCCTTTGGTGAGGGTCTTTGTAAAAGAGAGAGAGGAAAAAAACTTTTAACAGGTGAGATTGGCCTCCAACAGAAGGGTGGGACTACATCAGAAGGGTGGGATCTGAGGATGGGCAGGACCTTTTGGTTAGTTTGCGCCCTTACATGGCTGTGTACAAACAGGAAAATTTACTAACAAGGAGCAGGAAACCGATGCCTTGAGGTAATGTTTTATCACACAGCTGTAAACATGAAGTGGGAATCAAAGCCATTTTATACATGGTGACTGGGTGGATAAGATGTACAATAATAACTTCACCTGCAGGACCCTGGCGCCAGGGGCAGAACTAAGGGAGCCCCGACACCCTTGTGTGAAAGCCCAGCCCCCCACTCCCATCCCCCAGCCGGTGCCCTCCTGATCAGGGTTCTGCCCCTTCACACCTGATCTGGGGTTGTGGGGAGGTGGGTCTTGTCACCAAGCCTTTTTAGTGATCCAGCTCCACCACTGCCATCAGATTATCCGCCAGCTGGAGAACAATATTGAAAAGACCACGCTCAAGATCACCACCAGCCGGAACATCCACATGCTGTACTCAGACCTGCTGGACTACCTTAAGAGGGTGAGCCCCGCCCCCAGGGAGCCCCGCCTCCAAGCTCTTCCAGGCAGCCTGCAAAGAGGCTCGGAAAAAGTGTGGGAGCTTTCTTTAGAGAACTTCGTTTCTGTTGTTCCACACAAACATATTGTGGGGTGCGCCTATTATTTGGGCTTAAGCCTGGGCATGGTGCCACAGGTCTGTGATCTCAGAACTCAAGAAGCTAAAACGGGAAGATTACATATTCCGGGACAGTCTGGGCTACACAGCGAGTCCCTGTCTCAAAAACAGATGCAAATCATCACACACATACACACACACATCACACCACAAAAACCACAGAATTCTTTCACATACTAACTTTAGTTAGTATGTTTAGTTTGGGTCTTTGAGGGTCAGAGATGAATGATACTCCCTTCCCAGGGAGTCCCTTAACATGACTCAGTACAGATTCCTTTTCCACCTCCAAAAATATGCTGAACGCACATCTCCCTCTTTGGATCTGGCTACCCTGCTTTCTGTATTGGAAGCCAGGAGGAAGCAGATTCTGGCCTGTACATCCCAGGGAACCATGACCGTGAATCTCACTGAGCACACCCCCACAATGGCTCCCATAGAGCAGAGCATCTGCAGTGGAAATCGGGGAGAAAGGGCTTCGGAGCAGCAGGGTATGGAAAGCAGCATGGTGGACAGGCCTGAAAAGGTGGCCAGGAGGAATCCCTAATGCTTTAGCCCTTAGAAAGGGAGGTAAATGAGTGGCGTGGCTCGCTGGAGAAAGGGTTGGAATGTGGGCAAATGCTGAAGCTTTTCCCTGCTGGGGTCAAGTCCCTGAGCCAAGATCTCAGCATCATGCTCTGGTCTGTCCCTCTTACCTGACCCTAGTGCCAAAGGCTCAACTGGAGGCCCTGCCCCCCTTTCCTTCCTGTGTCCAGCCCTCCCCCACACTCCTTTACCTGGGTATTCTTTGTAGGACTTTCGCTCCAAAACAAACACACCTGAAACAAATCCCAATATCCACATTTTCTCTAAAATCAGCAAAGATTCGGCATGTACAGGTTTTACAGCAAAATATCAAAAGCTAAGCTTCCTTGGCCATCGATGCACCTAGCCTTGTGCTAAATATGCTACCTTACTTCTCCATCCACTTTAACAGAAGAAACCTTTCGAAAAAGTCAGGATCACCCTAGAAAGGCTAGATGTGATCCCAAGATCACATGGCTAGCTGGTCAGAAGTGAACTTCACTTTGAGCGCATCTTTCAAGTCCCCATGTTCCACTTCAGACCAGAGATGCCCCCAAGCAAACCCTCCTGGGTTTCAGGGTACCTTTGCTGGGGTACAGCATTGAGTTATCACGTCCTCTTGTTCTGGGTAGTGAGCGTCCATAGGCCACCAATGACGTTCCACACTAGAACACTTCTTTCTCCTGATTGCTCTGTGCCTTGTCCAGAGGCTAGGTCACAGACAGAACCCCTATCCTGTCTCCAGGGCTCACACAGTCTGGTAATGAAGGATGGAAGGGAATCAGAAGGCTCAGGAAAGCCAGCAATAGAGTATGATGGCACCAAATGGATCCATGGCTTCATGACTACACTTCCTTTGCCCATCCTGATAGGTGCTGGCGGGCTACCCCACGGAGCTAAACAAGCTTCAGAACCTGGTAACCAACTACTGCTCGGAGCTGTCAGATATGACAGTCATGTCCCAAGATGCCATGATGATTACTGATGAGGTCAAGGTGAGTCCAAGGTTTGGGGAACCATCAGTAGCTGCTCACCTGATCCTGTCTTGTTTGGGACCTATCTGGACATCCTATGTCTACACTACCCATCATCACTGGAGAAATCCATTGTTAGCCCTACCAACTGTCTGCTTACCCATGGGACAGAGAAAGCCAGTTTGGGCACAGAGGCTATACTTGAGGTGGCCAGGAAAGTGGGCATTATTCACCTTGTCACTACCAAGATTCTTGTCTCATGGCTGGAGAGATGGCTTAGCGGCTAAGAACACTGGCTGCTCTTCCAGAGAGGTCCTGAGTTCAATTCTCAGCAACCATATGGTGGCTCACAACCATCTGTAATGAGATCTGGTGCCCTCTTCTGGCTCGCAGGCAGACATGCAGACATAAACTATACATAATAAATAAATCTTTTTAAAAAAAAAAAAAAAAAGTACTGTTTCTAGGGAGACAGGACTAGGGAAGCCAGCAGCCCCCATCTTCCTGAAGTGGGCAGTTCTTCTAGTAGTTACATCTAGGTCAGTATAGCAGACAGAGGCAAAGGATTTAAGAAGTCTCCAGGGCGGCTTTCCAAGGAAGTATGCTTGAATGGGCTCTGAAGGACCAGCAAAGTCCAGGGGTAATCAGAGCTCAAAAGGAGAAAGGACAGAAAAGCCAAGGCTGTTGCCACATATTAGTGCACAGAAATCTACGTAACTTCCCTGCGGGAATCACTGGAGGCTATAGGGTCTTTAGGCTTACAGCCTCAGAGAAGATAAAAGGACACATGATCAGATTGTGTTTTATGCTGAGTGTGGTGCCACAGGCCTTTGATCCCAATACTTGGGAGGCAGAGTCGGGTCCATCTGTGAGTTTGAGGATAGCCTGGTCTACCAAATGAGTCCCAGGATAGCTAGAGGCTACACAAAGAAACCCTGTCTTGGAAAACAAACAAACAAAAAGGCATCACAGATTGTATTTTATAATGGCACACATTAACTGCAGGTGCCAGAAGGTGCTAGAGCAGAGCTACTGGCTGTGTGGCCAGGCCAGCAGTAGAGTGGGGGTGGCCAGAAGCAGACAGGGCATGGGAATCTCTAAGGGGTGACCACAGTGAACTTTGGTGATAGGAGCGGTGTGAGAGCAGAAGGGAGGGAGGGAGCGGGGGTGGCAGTTTTCAGCCTCAAAAGCAGAATGGAAGAGAGACTAGGGTTGAGAATTAAGGGGATGAATTACTTTTAGATATGTTAAATCCAGTTTAATGGGTTCCAAGTGGAACAGGCCAGGAAGCAACTAAAGAAAGGTAAGGGCCTAGGAGAAATGGGAGAGAGAGAGAGAGAGAGAGAGAGAGAGAGAGAGCAAGCATCTGGGCTAGAGGGAAAAGTCAGTAGGCATGTGTTCACCATGAGTGTCTGCACTACAGAGGCAAAGGGGCACCCAAGAGGACAGTGGGAGCCAGTAAGAAGAATGGCCAGCTTTCTTCCATAGTCCAATAATATGAAGACTAAAATCTGGCCACTGGCTTTAAAGCCCTGGGGGGACCCTTGGTGAGACAGTATCCCCACTGACTCTCTATGTCCCCAGAGGAACATGAGACAAGGGGAGGCGACCTTCATCGAGGAGCGAAGGGCACGGGAAAACCGGCTGAACCAGCAAAAGAAGCTTATTGACAAGATCCACACCAAGGAGACCAGCGAGAAGTACCGCCGTGTACATCTTGAGCCACACCCCCGTGGCGCCCACCACTCCTTGGGGGAAGAGCCGGGAGGACCCTTCATGTCTCGTTCTCACCTGGTTCTTTCTCCCATCAGGGCCGAAGGGACTTGGATTTCCCCTCCAATCTGATGAGTATGGATACCATGAAGGGTGAGCTTCAGCTCCTTGCCTTGTCCAGCCAAGGTCTCCAGTAGCCAGCAATGACTGGGACTGCCCAGCCATGTCATCATGAGACCAATGGTCACTAGGGTGAGGAAGACAGACAGCCCCTGCCTCTCCCTGACTGTCCCTGAAGAATCTGAGAGCCTGTGGCACAAGGTGGGCTGCAGAGATGCCATCTCTAGCAACTAGAACTCAGGTGCCCAGTGACATCAGAACTGCTTCCCAAAGCCACATGATGCCATGTTGCTTCTGGTCCTTGTCTGTCCTTGAGTTTCCCAAGGTACTCTGAAGGGTGAGGCTGAGGAGGGCAGGTACAGGTACAGGTCACACGAGGGCGTCTAACATCCTGGGTGTCTTCTCCGAAGCCAGAGTGTCTAAAGCCACCAGGTAGCCATTCCTGCATGCTGACTAGGTCCTCCTCTTCTGCTCTGCCCAGTGAGGAAAAGAGAAACTTCCATGGCAGATATGGAATACCAGACAGAAGTGACCACTTTGGTAGAGAGGGTCAAATCCGCTGTACAGTGCTCCCACCTCTGGGTAAGTCTCCCTGACCCCTGAAGGGTGACTAAGCTAGGCCAGGGCCTGGGGTGCTCTGCAGAAAGTTCACAAAGCCTAACCTCCTCTTGGAGGCCCCCAAGCGCGATGCTCCCAAGCCTGAACAAGTCTGGGCTTTTCTGAGGCATATGGATGGCATGTCCTCACCATATTCTAGGCACGCGACAGAAATGGAAGAGAAATGAATGAAATGTGTGCCCTGGCAATGCTGAAGCAGGCACGGGCAGCCCGTATATGGCGGTTCTGTTGAACTTGTCCATATTGGGTTTCATGGTCTAAGTTGATGAAGACGACTAACCAGGTCTCTTCCTCAAAAGTGCACCAGATTTTATTACAGGCGTTGTGAGTCACCATGTGGTTGCTGGGAATTGAACTCAGGGCCTTTGGAAGAGCAGGCAGTGCTCTTAGCCTCTGAGTCATCTCTCCAGCCCCATGTATGGGACAGAGTCTGCTAGAATTTGAAAGTTCAAATGCGAAGAATATGAACCCCTTCCCAACTTGACAGCCACAGTGAACTGGCCTCCTTTTGTCATAGACCTACCTGAGTTACCATTGTCAGGCCTTGAGGTCCCAGCCACAGCATCTTGACTGAAGGCGATACATGGTCTCTTCATGATAGATGGAGTTACCCTCTGCCTATCATGAGAGCTATGTATAAGGGCATGTACATGTTACCCTTCTACCCAGCCCATCATAAACCTTAACACCCAAAAGTATTCAGTGTCATAACTGAGCCCCAAGTACCACAAAGCTGCACTATCCGTTGGGAGGGGCCCAGGAGAAACCAGGGCTATGAGGCCCTACTCCCTTTCAGACCCACACCCATTTCTCCCTGCCCTGGACTGGTTAGGACATAGCGGGCCGCTTCCTGGCTCAGAAGAATACAGAGGAGAACCTGGAGCTGCAGATGGAGGATTGTGAGGAGCGGCGGATGCAGTTGGAAGCCCTGATGAAGAAGCTGGAACTGGAAGAGGCACTGCTCAAATTCCACCAGACACCCAGCTCTGTTGGGTACGTTCCAGGGCTGCTGGGTGGCCCCACAGGTACAAGTTAGTAGCTGCACATACCTACAACCAATAAACCTGGGCATCCGCAGACAAGCTAAGGACCCACCTGCTTGAAGATGAATTTATGAGCCCCTGAAGTTGACACACCTGGCTCAGGACCCCTGTGGGCCCTGAGTACTGTCTGTCCCACCCTTACTGCTATGCCTATCTCTTCCCCAGCTTTAATTTGATTGAAAAAAAGATGAAGAACATGCTAGAAGAGGAAGAAGCAAGGCTCCAGCTGGCCCACAACAACATGACCAAGAGCCAGCAGCTGCTGCTGGCCATCCAGACAGGTATTGACAACCTCTACATCCGGCTCATCGGTATCATCTTGCCAGCCACCCAGGTACCAGCCCTAGCGGGGAGCTGTTTGCATAGGGTCCTCATGTGGGGATACTAGAAAAACAAGCTGCCCCTCTGGCCTACAGAAAGAAGTAACAATATCTGATACCCTTGATGTGTATGGCAAGCTGGAGTATTGTGAGGGGAAGCTCATATACCTGGCTGAACGCGTGCAAATGCTGACCAGAAATGAAGAGGTAGCCCTGGGCCATGGAAGGGTACCCACAAAGCCCATGTCCTATCCGAGCTGATAAGGGTGCTGCCCTGCAGGTCGACACAAAGGTGAGGGATGCCCTGGAATCATCAACTCTAAAGGAGAAACATAATACCAGGATTACCTTTGAGGACCAAGAGGAGGACATGATAGGTGAGGCCCTAGATGGGGGAAGAGGAATCATAGCCCAAACTAGATAGGGCCTGACTCAAGGCAAGAGATGGCACACCTCGGTCTGACTGGAACATACTGGCAGACTGCGTGCTAAAGGATTTAATTGAGGTGACAGAGGTTAACCTTTATGATATTTTTTTTTCTTTTCTGAGACTAAGGGGCATATCATGGAATGGGTCATAAGGGAGCCCAGATCAGACTATTAGTGGGATTCCTGTCGCAAAGACAGGATAGGGTGAATGGCGAAGGACGGTTAGTATGGGTAATCGTGGCAAATCCTGGTTCCTTGGCACCTAGCCTTGGGTGACTTAGGGCAGGGGTCAGATCAGAGTCTTCAGGCATTGGTCCATCTCTGAGATGAGCTGCAGACACAGAAGGCCTATGGCAGCAAAAGCAAACGGGTAAAGAGGGGTGAGGAGGGTCTCTGGAAAGAGGAGATCAGTCACTCCTTTTTTGCCTGTGCAGAAACCTTCCAGTTTGCCGACGTGGACCATAGCTATGTCCCTTCGCGGGCCGAGATAAAGAAACAGGGCCAGCGGTTGATCGAGGGGAAGCTCAAGGCGTCCAAAAAGAAGAAAAAGTAGCCCTGTCCGGGCTTTAGTACACAAATAAACATTTTTCCATAACTACTCTAGAGAAATTAGAAACTGCCCCGTACTTTCAGGGCGGGGAAGCGGGGCTTGGACGGGGAGAAAAGGGGAGGGGCTGCTCGAAAGGGGCGGGATCTAGGGCGCTCACTGCGCAAGCGGTGTCTACGTGTCCCTCTTGGTGCTCCGTAGCCGCGCCGGCGCCAAGATGGCGGCACTGACGGGTGCTTGGCCGCCGCGCCGAGGGCCGCGGGAGCCGGAGCAGACCCACAGAGGCTGAGGCCTCAGAGCCTCGCTCGGGGCCGCTCCCAACGCGCGCCTGCTCCGGCCTCGGGGGAAGCCTGGGCCGGCCGGACATGGTGCGAGGCGCGCTGCGCTGCTGCTGCTGCTGCTACCACTGCTGCCGTTGAGCTCGCGGGCCGCGCCCGGCTTGCACGTCCAGCAGGAAGATGTTCTCGGCGTTGAAGAAGCTGGTGGGATCGGAGCAGGCCCCGGGCCGGGACAAAAACATCCCCGCCGGGCTGCAGTCCATGAACCAGGCGCTGCAGAGGCGCTTCGCTAAGGGGGTTCAGTACAACAGTGAGTGCGGGCCGCGCCGTCGGGCAGGCCGGGGCGGCTGGCGGTGCCTGGGGCCGAGAGGGTCTGCGAGAACCCGAGGATCGGGGTGGACGGGGTCCCGGGGTTCTGCACAGGGGTCACTCCTGGAGGGCCGTCACCTGACAGGAGATCTCCAGAGAAGAGCTGTGCAGCGACACTGGCGGAGCAGCGGTGGAGGACCCCGATTGGCGCGGGGACCCTGCCGAAAGAGACCATTACATAACGCGAGGGTGCGTGCGCGGGGCTGGCTAGTGGCAGCGTGTCGCCTGCCTCCCACGCGGACCCCCGCTCGTGCTCACACAAGAGGCTCCTGATCGGTCAGCTCTGGCCTTGAGCCGTGGGATTTTTTTTTGTTGTTCACTGCGAAGCTAATTGGCAAACAATATCCACCACGCCACACATTCTCGCCCCCTTTTTTTAAAAACAAGGCTTTCATCAGGAAATATATTTTTAAAAGTTCAAAAGGCACTACCTGTATCCCTGGCCCCACAGGAAGAAAGGCCAGCCTTGGTTATAAATAATGTATGCAGGTAGAAGCAGACCGTCCTCTCGACCTCTTTAGAGTTTTCCATTTGCAGGCTCTTTTTTATGCAGTCCCCTGGTCTGATATCGTTTACTTCTCAACTATTTGTATACTGCCTGGTTTTTGACGGACAGCCCCAAACACACAAACCGTTCACTTTAAGGAATATCTTACAGGGTCAGTGATATTTGAGTGATAATGTAACATTATGAAATGTATTAGGATTTCGAACACGTTTAGAAGCAAGCACTTGATAGGTGTTAACTTGAAAGTTTGTAGTTCTCTTGAATGCACAGAAGAAAATATCAAGTCGAAATATTCAGAGATCTGTGTTCTTTGGAATCTACATTTGGATTCCTTATTTATTAGACCTGAACTGGAAGTTTCTCACTTTCTAAACCTGCTCCCTACTGGACCAGCCCCCTGGTGGTCCTGATAGGAGGGACCTAAAGGAGCTGGTCTTCCATAGTTTCCGAAGTATCTTACGTAGAGAAACGAACCAGCCGTATAATAAATACAGATTCACAATTCATGTCAGAGGCACAGTTAACTTGACGCTTACCAGGCTTTGAATTGTCTGTTACAGAATGCTGTCCTCCAAGGGCACAGCAATCTTTTTTTCTTTTAAATGTGTCAGAATAATAAATAACTCGATCTGGGTGTAGTGGCACACGCCTTTAATCCCATCACTTGGGAAGCAGGGACAGGTGCATTTCTGTAAATGTAAAGATGGCCTTCCTGGTGTATCTATCAAGTTCCAGGACAGCATGGACTACGCAGTAAGACCTTGTCACAAAAAAAGCAATAGAAAAAGGAACAACTCCAAGAAACCCACAGACCACCACATCATTGTGAGTTGTCTGAATTTTAAAGCAAAAAGAGGAAACTGCAACCAGAGTAAAGAGACCATATTTTAAGAAACAACACTGAACTGATGACCCACCTGGGAGTCCATGCACTTAAGCCAGAATGCTGCTCAGCTCACGCTCAGTGCAATTGACAACTTGCTGAGCAAAAATCCTTGCAAAAGTAAATACTAAAGGGTATTCTTTAGATAAATGGAACTTAAGCTGAAAAGATAGCATGAGATTTAAAAAACAACAACAACAAAGGAATGGGTCCATAAGTCGTGAGGCCTAAATAAGCAGTGATTGTATTAGTCACCAGTAGTAATGGTTTTTATGGGCAACTGTGGGTTTGGTTTTTTGTTTTGTTTTGTTTACAATACTCAAATAGCTGGAGTCAGCGCCTAATGCAGAATGGAGTTGATCAAACTTAGTGCATTCACATTTGGTGGGAAAAGGGTCCGAGACAGGATATTACTCTGTAGCTTTGGCTGTCCTGGAACTCACTTTGTAGACCAGGCTGGTCTTGAACTTGTGGAGACCCACCTACCTTTGCCTCCCAAATGCTAATATTAAAGGGATGCACTACTCCAGCTGGCGTGGCATTCAGAAAGTTGTTATCTTTAAACTGTATTACAGTGTTAGTGGCAAAACACAGGTTACAACTCTTCCAACTATATGCCAGGCAAAATGAGGAAAAGCTTTGCCAACTTAACGAAAGGCAAAGATGGCTAATAGGAAACCACAATAATAACTAAAAGAAAATACTATTTTAAAATATATTTACTGGGGTGACATGCACGCCTTGGTGCACATGTGGCAGTCAGAGGACAGCTTGCAGAAGTGATTCTCTCCTGTCACCACTGTTGAGTCCTGGGGATCACACTAGAGTTGTCAGGCTTGGTGGCGAGTGCCTCTGCCTGCTAGCCATCCCACTAGTCTTTCTTCCCCCTCCCCCCTCTTCTGTTGTCAGAGAGTGAACCTAGGTTCCTGCTAAGCTAGTACACTACTATTGCACTACATCCCCGGCTCCTAAAAAATTACTGAGTAACTCCACTTCCATTCGCATTCACAGTGCAATGAAGACATTTGGGGGGAAATCCCCTCTAATTGGGCCATATGGTCTTTGAAAAATACATTTAGATTATAAGAGTAAAGATTTGGAATAAGAAGTTGGAAAAGGCTATTGGGTACCTCTGATTATAGGAAGACTACCCAACTATGGCCTGGTCAGCTGTGGCTGCAGTAATGTCATGTAATGCACACTTTGAGGTGAAGAGAATGGGTTGCAGGAAGGACGGTGAGGGTCTGTATTCTATGTTTTTGTTTTGAAATAGAGCCTTACTATTCTGCTCACACTGTTGAACTTGAACGCTCAACTGGTCTTCCTATATCAGTATTCTGAGTAGCTGAGACTACAGGCATATACTTCTACACCCAACTCTTGGCTTCTTTTTGAAGCTTTTTAAAAGCGGTTCTTTTTCTTTTGCTATACATGGGACAATCAGCTTATAACCAGTAAAGGTTTAACACTCAGGCTGCAGAGGCAGGCAGAACTCTGCCTGGTCTACTGTAGCTCTGCCAAGAGGGGAGGGGCATGTAGAGATTTCTCACGGCCAGTTGCTTTGAACCTGTGGCAGCACATCACTGTAGGAATTCATGGTGAAGCAAGCCCCCTCAGCTTGTGGCAATGAATATGTGCCGTAGGGAGAGAACCCAAGTCCCACTATTGCCTTCAAGGGCATTGCTTCACATCCCACATCTCTTTTTAATTTTTTTTTTAAACCTGTATGATATGTGGTTTGCATGTATGTATGTCTGGGCACCACATACCACTTTTAATGCCTACAGAAGCCTGAAAAAGGACATCAGATCCCCTAGAACTGGAATTACAGGAATTGAAGCTGGGTCTTCTGGAAGAGGCTTTTATCATCTCTCCAGCCCCAGGTCTCATCATTTAACACATTGGCTGAAGTTGGGGGGAATTTGAGATCCAGATGGCAACAGTTTCCAGATAGTTTATGAGTCTGTGAAGAAATGACTTGGAAATCAGAAAGTACTCCCAGTGGGTATGGTGCAGGCCTTTGATCCCAGCACTTGAAAGGCAGAGGCAGGTCTGGTCTACATAGCTAATTCCAGACCAACCAAGACTACTAGAGAGACTGTCTCAAGAGAAAGAGGTGTGGGTCTGGACAGAGCTTGGTGGTTAAGACTGTTTTCCCAGAGAACCCAGGTTCAATACCACATGGCAGCTCATAATTGTTTATAACTCCAGTTCTACGGGATCCAACACCTTCTTCTCCTTAGGATCCTGCACACACTTGAGGCACATGAACTTGCACAACCACACATACATACTCATCAAAGTAAAAGATTTTGTTTTTAAAGCAAAATACATAAAGAATCTTTATCTAGGGCTGGAAAGATGCCCAGTGGTTAAGAGTGCTTGTTGCTTTTCAGTTGGACCCAAGAGAGACTTTATTGGAGCTTACAGTGGCAGCAGGCAGGTGAGCGTGGCTCTGAGAGCTTATATTGTATCCACAAGCAGCAGGCAGACTGGACCTCCCACAGGCTTTTGAAACCTTAAAGGCCAACCCCATTGACATGCCTCCTAATCCCCTAATCAGTCCACCAACTGTTGGACGGCTCAGATATGTGCGCCTGTGGGGGCCATTCTCATTCAAATCACCACAAAGTGTGAGGTTTGTGAGGGTAACCAAGTGGGGTCAGGCACGTCCCCAGGAGTCCAGCTGAGCTATGGGGCCAAGGTGGCCTTGGTTTCTGTAGAACGGTTTGGAAATGGGAAGGGACTTGACTCTGCAGGCAGACCAGACAGCCTAGGAAAATGAAGCGGGTTGGCAGAGGAACCCACAGCTTCCCCTTGCCCTGCCTCTTAAGCTTCCACATCTTTTTCTTTCCTTTTTTTTTTTTTGAGACAGAGTTTCTCTGTCCTGGAACTCCCTCTGTACGCCAGCCTGGCCTTGAACGCAGAGATCCACCTGCCTCTGCCTCTTAAGTGCTGGGATTAAAGACGTGCACCACCGCCCTTCACTTCCATGTCTTTCTAGACTCTTTCCTGGCC